ACATTGATTTTCACACTCTTGACCATAATAATCCGATTTACAAACTAAAAAAAAAAACAAATAAAATACTTTTCAATTTTCACATTCAATTTGTGACTAGTATTTAAAAGAGCTAATTAAAATTATTGTAAGATAAACCTAATTTACGAACGCAGAACTTTTCTTTACAAAAATTTGTAATAGAAAAAGTTAAGGTTTTGGCAATAATAAAGGTATTTTCTAAATAAATACCATCACAGTATCGACCTTTCCATCCTATCTTACAAGTACAACTTCCATCGTCTTGGTTACAACCGGAAATACACCCACCACTGCAGGTTTGCAGACAGTCAGCTCCAAATTTCCCGTCAATACACCCAGAAGTACACAAACCACTGCTTTTACTGCAAACCTTTTTGCAATTTTGATGACAGGTCTGTTCACATCGATCGCCATATTTACCAGCTGGACATTCTCCTTCACAACTCCCCGAGTTTCTGTTGCAATTTGATTGGCATGAAGCACTGCATCTCTGTTCACATTTTTGTGAATAAAATCCACTCTTACACCCAACAGTGCAAACACCAGTCACATTGTTGCATGCCTGATTGATACAATTAACATTGCACACTTGTGAGCAATTAGTTCCAAAATGAGTTGAATCACATCCTAAATAGTAAACATAAGGTTTATCTTTGGGGTCTTATGAAATTGAAAATTGTCTGAATTTCAAAAAGTTATGTAGCTACCTGTATGAGCCAAAATTTATTTCATTTTTTTTTGGGCCCTTACAAGTATATGTTCACAAAACTTAATTCCTGTAATGAACAAAAAATACGCATTTTTTTTATAAAATTAAAATGAATACAACAACAATTATAACCCAACGAACAGAATGAACTCTATTTATTTTGTGGAATACGTCATTACATTATAAATGTAAGATTTTCTGTCTTAACGAGTACATAGCATAGCAAAACAAGCTGTTAGCATAGAAAATAGGAAAAAAAAATATTTTGAATAAAAAACTTACTGTTGCATGTATCACCGCTCCAGTTTGGTTTACATCCATTAATACAAGTACCATTTTGACTGCAGTTGAATTGTCTACAGTTTTTATTGCATAACTTATCACAAAATAAACCATAAAGACCACTGTTGCATCCATTACTACAACTTCCATTATTTTGGCTGCATTCTTTATTAAAGCAAGCATTTCTACAATGTATATCGCATTTTGCTCCGTAATAGCCTGTATTACAGGTCTGGCAATTTCCAGTATTTCGATCACAAGTGCTAGTGCTGCAGTTACCACAAGCTAATGTGCAGTCACTATAGAAATATCCATAATATCCCGGAACACATCCACTTGAACAGATTCCAGTTTGTTTAATACATTTCCTTTCCAAACACGTCGACGAACAAATCTTTTCACATGTATCCCCATAGTGCCCATTGCTGCAGGAATCGCAAAATCCAGTATTTATATTGCAAACGTTCATTGGACATGTCGACGGACACTTTTTCTCACACGTACCTCCCCAATAGCCTTGATTACATCCTCGAGTGCACGTACCATTTCCATCACATTGCATGTCTACACAATGGGGACTGCATGTGACAACTCCTTAAGAAAGATACACAACACATACATGCAGACACCACATTATAAAGAGCACTTAAATTTATATTGTAATGGAACGGATAAATATATGTTCATGCACATGTTCCATGATCACGACAAAGTCTATAGGTCTTGCAAAACTATTGCTTGAAACGTTAGAAAGCAATGGTTTTATGTCTTGAACAAACTAAATAACTATTTGGCTGAGGCTGAGTACTTTTTCACATTACTTGAATTACTGTAAGTATCCTTCTTACTATTAGACCAGATATAATATATCACTGCACAACATTTATTGTAAATGTACTTTAAAAAGCGGTCTTCATATTTTAGCGTCTTTGGCGCAGACATTGCTGCGCTAATTTATGAATTTCGCTAAGAAATTGTTTATAAAAATAATATACAGTGCGGAGGTATATAATGCTAATTCATGAATACGCAAACAAGTCAATTTTGATTACGCCAATTTATGTACACGTACAATAAGTTGTTCATTAATGTTAGTCTTAATTCCCCATCAAGACAAATTCTTATTTTTCCGTATTTTCATGTACGGGAAATGCACCATTCAAGATTTAAAGATATTTAGGCACAATAAACAAAACAATTTTTCATAAATAAGTTCTTGCAACATTTTTACCATCAATTAACTTAAGTTCTTTGAAATCTTCTATACATTATGCCTTATTTAATGAAACACTCAAAATTAGAAAAGTAGATTATGACGTACATGTAACACCAGGTTACATCGTAATATGTGTAAACTAACACGTTTGTAAGAGCTGATGAAATATTGGAAATCGAGAAAATATCGTCATTTTTTGCAACAGTCGGAATTTATGATAACGATAGTGTTATGTTTTGCATGCACTATGCCTAAATAGTACACAATAGTGACACAACGCCTCCGACTCTTGCACCATGTGTCAAACACTGACTTATATTTAGGTAAAATATAATGCATGCAATACACACAACTACAATTTAAAGTCTGACTTTCAATTATTACTTATACATGCATGTGAAGCTTCATCGCACTATATGAAATTTATTTCTTAAATGATTTTTACAATCTATGGTTTCTTTATACAGCAGATGTTGTCCAAAAATGGGTATTTTTTTTATCGTAACGGTCAGGAATGATACCTGATTTTTTGTCATTTAGAGAATTTCCAGTTATACTGGATATGATCGAAAAGAAGCGAAGTTGATTAAATATACAGATTTTACACTTTTCAGTGCTTCGAAGTAAATTTTTAGAATTCATATGCCTATTGCTTTCATTTATATATTTTCTCTTTTATAGCATATAACAATCAAACTATCAAAATAAAGATCTTATCGTATCAGGAATCGGACTCAAAACCCACTCGTTACTTGCATCGAGATACTAGCTAGTTATATTATCATTGGAAGTTAAGCGTTATTACATTTTGAACCATTCAAATGCAAATTTTACGGGACGATGTGAAATTATAGATTTTAAGTTTCATAACAAAGTTACTTCCACGAAAATCTCAAAAACTCATCTGAGAAATCTGTGGTGCATGTACAATCCATAAAGTAAGGGTAGCTATCTTTTTAAAGTATGGATTCTTAAATTACGCTTTGCTCTTAAAATGCTTTGATAAAGTATCCAAGTAATACGTTATTGTACCAATTAAGTGTTTCCTTACCGTATATTTTAATTTCACATATTTCAAGTATAGCACCGGAGATTCTGATCTTATCATCCTCAGGGGCATCATAGGTTGTTATAATTCTGATGTACCTTGCTGTTTCTTCACATGGAACATACTGTATGCTTTCAGGTGTAAGAGTATCCGGTGTGTTGTCTTTGTAACATTCAATCCATGACTGTGTAGGACCAGAAGAATTTGATACTTCTAATCTATATTTTCGAAATCGGTAAGGTTTCCAGTCGTTTTCACGGGATCCTACAAAACATGATTGTATTTTTTTCTTTCTTACGTTTATTATGAGCAGTTTGAAAATAAATCAGAAGTAAATACAATTATTACCAATGATTTACAGATGACAACTAGCCCTGAACCGAATATCATATTTCTTGAAATTCTTTAAGATCATAACTACATGTACACTTCGAAGCAAATATTTTGAAAATCAACGCAAAACCCATTTATTATTCTTGAAATTCCAAATTATACACGGAGAATTCATCCTCGCATTATGTTGCAAGAAACGCCACTCGCAAAATACAATTTCCCACTTTTATTTTTATGGTGCTAAAATCAACGTGAAACTCTTGATATATGTGTAGACTCTATCCATTATTTTTATTTTCATTTTAACACCCAAAAGCTTATTTGTAAGTACGAGGGTCATTAGTAAACTTTTGTCATAACTTTGGAATCTAACGTCATATACCCACCAAATTTGGTACAAATCTTTGTACAGCATATTCAAATAATGTGAGCAAATAATATCTATTTAAACTATCAAGATTTAAGCCAGCAAAAATGGGGTTACGGAGCAGGGTTAAAAGTGGGTATTTACTAATTAAACACTTAATAAAATTTATATACATGTAGGTACATATAATAAATAGCACTTACATGTAAATAAAATAAATATTTTATGTTCAAATTCAGTACTGTTCTATTTATTCAGATGCTAAAATGTACATGTAATGAAATACATCGCTTCGTTTTAAAGATATCAATTGTTAAAGACAGATAGGCCTTATTAATAGTCTCAGGCCGAGAACATGTACATATATCTAGTATACTTTAAACAGGGAAATGTTCGACCCCGTTTCATTTTCGCCGCTACTTTCGCCCTTCTTTCATTTAGGCGATTTTAAAGCGGGGCGAATGCAAAGAACATAGTACAATTTCTTAAACAAAACTATCACTTCTAGGCGGATTTAAAACGGAGTTAACTTATTTGCAAGTGTATGAAAAGGTGAAAATAAATCGGGGCGAAATAACTCTGTATACAGTATTTTTTTTATTATTTCTCTTTGAAGTCTATAGACAATGTTTTTTATAACGCATAGAAATACTATACGCCGCCATATAGAAAAGACAAGTGAAAAAATAACTCGATTTAAAAAAGCCGAGGTTGTATATCTACGACAACCTTGATTTGCATTCAGTTACACTTTATACTCGGACATAAACTTGACCAAGTATCACAAGTAGCAAAACGCATAAACACTTTTTAATAGTATCGGCGGTACTTTTATCTCATTCATGGGTCTTATTATAAAACTGATTATGCTTTTACAGTTCCATAAAAAATCTATTTCATTACAAGTGTCATTGCACATGTTTTACTATACGCCTCAGGAGCTTTCCAAGCAAAAAAAAAGACTGATTTTTGATTTTTTTTTTTTTTTTTTTTTTTTTTTTAGATTTTTTTAATACATGTATTTTGTGAATGGATGAGGGGGTATTATTACTTACTGTGTTTAGTGCTCACTGTTTTCCTATAGAGGTCTATATATATTCATTTAAATGCAAAATTATATATTTACCTTCAAATCTGTAATAGATTGTTATGTTTTTTATCTTATATTGTCTTCCTAAGTCCACCATGACCCATGCCACTGATTGACCTTCAGCCGTATGTGAACAATTTCCTTCCTTTTGATCCGTAATACCGTCAATAACTTTTTCTGCCGATAAGCCATTTCTTACAGAACTCTGTGTCACTATACAGGTAGTTCTCTCACATATACTTTCTGTAAATTGATAACATACGATTAATTAATTCTTTTATTGTCTATGTAATTCTTTAAAAATATTACGCTGCATTTAAATAAAGCTTCGCTATTCAGCCAGATTTCTTTTTTAACGCATAGTGATAAAAGTACAAGAATTACCAAGTCCATTTTCAGCCTATAGCGTGTGTTTTTTTATTAGGTAGTTACATGTATCTACGGTTCAAACATTAAAGTCAAAGAATAATTTTTCCTTTAATAAAAAAAATGCCAAATGAGCTCATCTTTCGTGGTTTAAACAAATATTTTTCGCGTTATAACACAAAAATTCGCGATAATTATCAGACAACTACACCTGTAACTTTTGCGGTAGAACGCGAAAGCTTTGCTGTTAAACCGAGCCATAAACATTATTGGCAATTTTCATTTAATTTTGTGATTTAGTTTACTCATTAAATGCAAAATCAAAAAGCTATTTTGAACAACAACCTTTATACCTCGTATTTTTCATTTTAAGTGCCCTTATAAAGGATTTTCACTCCTTTTAAATCCTTCCAACAGCCACATTTTATTTTCCTCGAAATTGTTCAAACAATTTAAATCTATTCCAGTTTTCTCTAAAATCTTTTCAGGAATATCCGTATGTTTCATTTAATATTCAGAAACGAAGCGATTTTCCTTGTTAAATGGTAACATACAATGAATTGCTCTTTTATAAGAATAAGAGATTATTCTCTTATTAGAAAGATTAACTTTAAAAAAAAATTGGCTTGTCCTCTCCCGAATCGATATTCAAATATTTGGTTGGTAGGTAGGTGTGAAAAATGTATTTTTCAGAAAATTTCATTATCATCCAAAGTACATCAATGATAGCTTTCTAGAATTAAAAAAAATAACCAGTCGGTCGGGAGAGGGCAAGCAAACAATTTTGTAAGGATAATCAAAGACAACAGATTAAATTATTATTCATTAGAAAATAGATTTATGTAATTTTTGCTCTCAAGATGAAGTTTAAGACGAGTACAACTTTTTATGTTAAATTGTACAGAATATTCGAGTTAAAGAGCAAATTTATTTACTAGTATGAAATGCAACCAAGTTTTTTCTATGTCAGATCCACATAATGTAAATTTCCTTTAAAAAAAATTTCTAGGCAGACGTCAAAATATTTATTTTAACAATACATGCACAGACAATCTTTGTTGTACAAAAAAAGCTATGCGTAATATTTTTGTGTATTTTTTTTTCATTTATTTTTGTTAAAAGTGACATATAGGGCCGTGGGCTGAGTGTTTGGATATTTATTGATTTCAATTTTATTTCATCGTATTGTATGAAAATGTTCTATAATCAACGATTTTCTTACTTATTGTTCGAGTTAATAATAAATTCAACTTACTTAAAATAGATTACATAAATTGTCATGGAAGAGTTTGAGTTTTAGTAACATACCGTTACAGTGAATAAATCCTGGTAGCAGAGTTAGCCACAACCAATATATTACAGCCATTTCAAAACAGGAAGCAACTTTGTAAAATCCTCACACATGAACCAAATAAAGAGTCAACGATGATGGGTCTAAAATCTAATCTAGTGACCTATGTAAAAAAGATAACTATAAATGTTGATATTCCTGTCAAGTTTAAACAATTAGTCGATCCCTGCTGTATGTGAGGTAGCATATTATTCCTTTTTATAACTTTTAAAAACATCTAAGCCGCTTAAGTTAAAATCTTAATATGCACATTCGTTTTCACTTAATTTCTACCTCCCCAATATCTAATAATATCTAATAATAAATAGTGATATTCTTTCATTTGTTTATAGATGTGCTTAAATTTGAAGATCTAAAGGCGATGCATTTAGACAAGGGTACAGGAGGATATGTATTGACGAAAGGTTATATACTAGTAATCCGAGATTTTTTTTTGTTTTATATCCCCCTTCCCCGTCTAAAAAAATGTAGAAACTTTAAACGACACAACAGGGAGTAAAATTACTTCTCCAAAAATATCATTAATTATTTCTAAGATTCCCACTTTTTAAAAAACATTCAAGGATCATTTCTACATTGGGGATCATTGAGAAACCTGAAATCTTAACGTTAAATACCCCTTAAACCTTTTTTGTAATCTTTCACAATCTTTTATGATTACTGTGATTTCATTAACAGTCACATCTTTATTTTAGTTGAAAGGACAAGATAGGATAACGACCGAATCTGATCCCTTATTTGTAAGAAATTAAATTAATGTTTACTTTAAAACAAGCACTAATTTCGATTTAAAGCTTACACGGAAGCCACGAGAGCGTGCGGAAGTAGGACATTTTCCAGAATTTCCTCAATTCTGGTGAAAGTTTATCACATTTGAGATACTTTTCTCTTCGGTAAACATAGAGCACAAGCTTGCCTATCTGAAATTTTAAAAAAAAGTGCATCTGATATTAGTGTATACAATATATAAATTAGGAAGATAGGCAAGCGTGTGCTCTATATTTTCCGAAACAAAATATGCCGTAAAATCGATGAAAATTTGCAGAAAAATTTCAAAAATTAGCCTATTTTCTGACTTCTCTGTGACCTCTGTATATTCTAAATCTTAGAATCAATACAGTAACTCATTTTGTGGCATTGGTAACAAAAGGTTTTTATGGATAAACTGTTGCATAACTCTGAATGACACCCGAAATCTAAAGCCAAATATTGCTCTTACCCTATCTTGTCCTTTATCAAATAAGGGGACAAAATAAAATTTTAGCTACATACTGTTGTAATGAATAACGCCTGGTTATAAAATAAGACACATCCACCATGGACAGCTATTTCGAAAGAGGAAGTAAATTAAATATAGCTCCTGTTTGAATAATTTGACCAGAGATTTAAAAGGTTGACTACTATGTACCTATAACATGCTTAAAAAGGTAAACACTGGGAATCAAACATTTACTGTACATGTCGACAATCATTTTAAGTATTAACAATTTGAGGAGAGATAGATAACTGATCTTGAATGTACCTACATCTGAAGTTAAATTCTATTTTTAGTTAGCGAAGTGTATATGTCCCTACTGCTTTAAATGCTTACCTATTTAAAGGAAATCCTTGTGCATACATGAATAAATATTATAGTGAAACGTAGAGACTCCTCTCGCAAAGAGTGTCTTTAAATCAAGACAACACTCTTCTAACATACACAAAAGTGGTTAACGTTATCCCCTCAAAGTCCCCATGCTAGGGCATAATAAAAAGATATTGTAAAGAAAACAATGCATCCTTATTTTTGCAATTTACATTAATAATAATATAACTTAGAAAAAAAAAGAATTTCCTTGTAATAAACAAGGAAACAGCTATCATGCTTTAACAAAAACAAATTTAATGTAATTCTAGGGAAAGAGTCCTTGGCAGCATTATTTTTATGCCCCCGTAAACGAAGTTTCGGGGGTATATAGTTTTTGTCGTGTCCGTCTGTCTGTCTGTCTGTCTCTCTGTCTCTCTGTTTGTCTGTTTATCCGCAAAAACTTTAACCTTGTCCATTACTTTTGATTTAGTGGAGCTATGACTTTCATATTTCACATGTGTATTCCTTGTGACAAGACCTTTCTTTGGGTACCACCAAATTTGACCTTTTGACCTTGACCTTGGAGTTTGACCCACGTGAAAATTTTAATATTTTACTTTGGCTATATCTTTTGAATAGAAGACACCAGGACATTTATACTTCACATATGTAATGTTTGTTGAAAGACCTTTCAATGGATACCAACAACCTTGACCCTTTGACCTTGACCTTGTAGATTTCCTTACTTGTGAAAAAACTTTAACCTTGGGTATAACTTTTGAACGGTAAGGGATAGGGCTTTCACACTTCATATGCGTAATCCTTGTAAGAAGACCCTTTATTGGATACCAAGAATTTTTACCCTTTGACCTTGACCTTTGATACTGGCCTACTTTAAAAAATGCAAACATTGACCGTGATTTTTAAATAGTTAGGGCTATTGCTTTCATACTTTACATATTGAACTCTTGTGACAAGACCTTTCATTTGATAACTAGTTAGAACTTCGACCCTATGACCTTGACCTTGGAGTTTGACCTACTTTTAAAAAAAATTAGCTTTGGCCATAACTTCTGAACGGTAAGGGTTAGGGCTTCAATACTCTCCATAAGTATTCTATGTTGCCAGAGCTTTCATTTGATACCAATGACATTGACCTTTTGACCTTGACCTTGGAGATTTTTGTTCTTATTGAAAAAAACTTAAACATTGGCTTATTTTCAAAGAACTACCTGCGGTATATTGCATATATTTGCCCCCCACAAAAGTCAAATTTTGAAAACTTCCTAAAATGCGCTGAATTCAATAAATTGTATGAGAAATATAAATAAACAGAACATATTATAGTTTCAAAGCAGTTAATTCACAATTTTTGTTTTTATGACGTCAAAAACTAGTTCGATTTTATATCATTTTTCAGAAAGAGGAGAAAATGGACAAAATTTCAACAATTTTAGCTTTAGAATTCATAGAGCGCAAGTTTGTTCAGGAACAATATTTACATATTTCATTGATATTATCATTCTACACATTATATCAAAATATCGATCCTGAACACACATGCGCTCGGTGACTTTTACTAAAAAAAATCGACGAAATATGTACCTTTTTTTGTAGAATTCATGAAAAACTGAAATTTACGTCATGTCTGTGACGTCATTACGTGCATATGACGTCATTACTTATGAAAATATTCAGTACTTTGAAGTCAGCATATATTCCCCTGTTTAAGAACTTAATTAAATATATCTCCATCAAAGTTTGATTTGGGGGGCAAATATTGGTTATAACCGAATAAAGTTCTTTCAAAATTG